CCTTGCCTATGTTAATAGAATCCCGAGTTCTGCCGAACTTTAAACCAAGATTGAAGACCCTTCTGTTCTCCTGAATCCTCCAGGACTTTTCTGCTACAGTCAACTTAAAACATTAGCATGGAGAAGGACATGGGTGGTTTCTCTTTCTTTATGGATCATATCTTGTCCACAAACTTCTTTTTTGATGTTATCTTTTTAAATAATACAACTTTTTCAAGTGTTACATTTTTATTGCTTTCCATGATTTTCTTATTCTAGCTGCTTTCATTCATAATGAATATACCTTTAAAGGAACTACCTGCGAATATGGCAAGTAGTATAAAACTACTTTGATTTTAATGTTATTTAATGTAATAATGTTTAATGTTAATATACAAATGTGTAATGATTTTTTAAAAATTAATTTACTTAATTTTTGGCTTTGCGGGGTCTTGGTTGCTGTGCTGGCTTTCTCTAGTTGCAGTGAGCAGGGGCTACTCTCTAGTTGAGGTGTGCAGGCCTCTCATTGTTGTCACTTCTTTTGTTGCAGAACATGGGCTCTGGGGGCAGGTCAGTAGTTGTGGTGCACAGGCTTAGTTGCCCTATGGCATGTGGAATCTTCCTGGACCAGGGATCCAACCCATGTCCCCCACCTTGGCAGATGGATTCTTAACCACAGAACCACAAGGGAAATCCCTGTAATGATTCTTTATAACTGGATTGATGACCAAACTGTATGGTTTGTGGGATATTAGTTCCCCACCAGGGACTGAACCTGGGCTCTTGATAGTGAAGGTGCCAAGTCCTAACCACTAGGCTGCCAGGAAGTTCTCTTTGTAATTGTATGTGAACATATATAGTCAAAAATTTTGCAGTATTTACATGATTAATCTCCTTTCTTGTCCTTTTCTAATTTTTATTTCATGTTAGTTTTCAGTACTCCTACTTCAAGGTGGATTGGGCAGGATAATAGGAAAAAGTGTTAATATTAAATTTTAAAATTTACTGTCTGTAAGTATTTGCATGCTAATCCTATCTGGATAAACAAGCCTTATTCTTATTTAGGATGCATTGAAATAGAGTGTTGCAAATACTTTTATGATTTGCCATCAAACATCTGTTTCATTCTTTGGTACTTTCTTTGAATATCCTGCTCATTGTTTAGGAAAAGCAAATGTTCAATAAAGTAGTCACAAAATATGCACTTGTCTCTACCCTGATATCCTAGTAAAGTTCTATGTTTGGAAAGATCATTTTTAAACAACTGAACTACGAATGCAGTCTTATTTTGGTAGATCCTAAATGTTGTTTCTTTTTTCTTTTCTTTTTGATTATAGGCCTACTTGTTGGAGATTTACATAAACTGTTGACAGTAATGTGCAAATCATATGTATTTGGTGGCAAACCTCACTACATTCCAAGATGATTTGGGGGGAGCAGCAATTTAACTTAAAAGGAAATTTACAATTCTTTTACCACAAATAAGGTCTACATTTTCAGCCTTTAAATTATGCTTAATTATAGTTTAATGAAATTGTGAACTATAGAGGAAAAAAGATGTAAACATAATTTAAGTATATGCATTTTAGCTATGGGCTTTTTTGCCTGCAGATATAAAAATAGAATTCAGATCTTTTAGTATCCATGTAGTTTTCTAGATTGCATATGAAAGCATAAACACAGCTATATTTGTAAAGAGTGTCTCAGATGACATAAAGCACTTTTTTTGAGACAGAAGGGGGAAAATAATAAATTTTAATAACTCTGATTGGAAAAAATTAATTCATTAAAAAATATTAGTTGCCAAAGTGAGAAGGCCTCGATATAAACTACTCTAATCCACCTCCAAAGTATGTATGTTATTAAAATTTCAGAGAGTGGGGAAATAGCTCTTTTAAGAGAAATCTTTGAAAAAGAAGATGTATTAATTTAATTTTAATAGTAAATTGTCATTGATTTATTAAAAAATTTGTCAGTATAGAGAATTCAGCCAACTTGATAGATCCTTCTGTGTTCTTACATAATTACTGGTGCTAAATTATGTGCATAGGAGAGGTATTGATTATTTCATATATTTTAATATAACCAATGGCCAATCCAAGCATTATCCCCCCAATAAGACAGAACATGTTTCTGCCCAAATTATAAGTGTAATTATAAGTAATAATTAAAATTTTCAATTAAAAAATTCCATGGAACTTAAAGGCATATTTACATAATATGATGATATTCCCCATCACATGCACTGCATATATTCGAAGGAAATCATATTTGTCTTTATCTTGTCTTGAAAGTGAAGTCGCTCCGTCGTGTCAGACTCTTTGCAACCCTGTTGACTGTAGCCCTCCAGGCTTCTCTGTCCATGGGATTCTCCAGGCAAGAGTACTGGAGTGGATTGCCATTTCCTTCTCCATATCAGCTTTTGCAGAAGCATTGTTGAAATAGCTGGGTTTCAAAGAATGAAAAACCTGCTTTACGAACCATAACTATAACTTGTTACAATTATGTGAGGTATTTTAACAAGAAAATAGGTATTCTTTAATCCTAACCATATTCTCACTAATAAATAACCCTTAACATTGTCTTTTGAGTTCTGGAAGTTACTTAGAGTGTATTATTTAGTTGCATTTTATCGGTTGAAATACGTATTTTGAGTTACATAACTACTAAATGACGAGTTGCCTCAATTACTGTAATGGCCATTGAGAAACAGGGGCAAAGAGACATACTTGCAACCGAAATAGCTTTGTGCACAGTAGATGTGTTAGTCATCTACTGTTATATAAGAAATCCCCAGAAACCTGCAATTTTTGCAAAACTTCCCTGGTTTGCTTTCAGGTGTGAAGCTCAGAAATTCAGTCCTGGGAGACTGGGCTTTTTCTCTGAGTTTTTACAAGACAAAAACCAAGGCATCAGCCTGATCCAATTTCCTTTCTGGAGAATAGTAGAGACACTGCCTTGGATTCATCCAGGTCTATTGAGGCTTCCGGATGGAGCCCCCTCTTATTCAGTACCCCTCAGCTGCTCATGTCCTGAGCACCTGAGCGTGCAATCTCTTCTCTTTCCAAGGCTGGCAGCACAGAACTCCCCCTACAGTCTCTTTCATACTTTGAATTTCTTAAGATCAGGAAGCGCCCAGCTTCTGTTTAGGGCTTTTCCTATTTAGGTTCAGCTCCCCCTATAATTTAATTTCTAATCAATTCGGAGTTAACTGATCTGATCATGGGAGTAATGCTCCATCCTTTTCACAGTTTCTAGTTGAAATCAAGGCAGGGGCTCATGCACACATGACGGACCCAGGGTGACGGGGGAATCACCTTAGTGTCTGCCTTCCAGAGCGAGAAGCGAGGTCATTGGTGTGAAATCATGGGCAGAGTGAATGAAGTTTAAATACTGAAGAGGCAGTTGGGCACTAGAAGTCCATTCCATTGGTTAAAAGGGAATTAAGATTAGTAGATACCCAAAACTGTGTTTAAAGAGATAAACAACAAGGGCCTACACTATAGCACAGGGCGCCGTATTCTATATCTGGTAATTACCCACAGTGGAAAAGAATCAGGAAAAGAATATATAACTGACTCACTGTGCTATATACCTGAAACTAGAAACTAACACAGTACTGTAAATCAATTATATTGCAATTAAAAAAAGAGAGAGAGAATTAGGGTTTGGAAGTGAAAGAATTGAAGAGGAAAAGGCAGAAAACTATAATAGAAAGAAAAAAAGAAGAGAGAAGAAAAATGTAATTTAGTATAGAATGTCATATGACCTAAAAGGCCTTAGACAAATCTGTATTGCAAAGTTTGATGAAACATATCTAAAAGGAGTCAATAAAATGAGGAATGTTTCATATTTCCACAAGCAGCTATATGTATGTTCAGCCTGGAAATTGGAGGACAAATAAAGGGGAAATGGTGCTTACAAAGTAGTGATACTCTTCTCTCTGTATAATACCGCAAATACAAAATTCAGTCTTATGAAGCATATCTCTTAGTTATGACCACAATTAAGGTATTGGTATAGTTTAAAATTACTGTCCTGGTATTATGAGTATATCCAAGTTGAACAAAAAAGTGTCAGGTATGTGCCATGCACATTACTTTGTGTTCACGGTCCAGTTCAAACCTTTTAACTTGTTTTAGAAATTGAATTAAAGATTGTTTTAAAGGTTTTGTGCTTTTGTGATTTTTGTTTGTTTTTGTTTTGTATTGTTTTGTTTTTACTGAGATTTAGCAGACTTAATGGATTGGATCTTCATGACCTGAAAGGGCACAAATATCTTACTTCTTAGATTCTGTTTTTGTAGATAAACAGCTGCTCATTTCCCAAATATCAGTCATGTGTTTCCCCTCAATATCAACTCTTAAATGGGTGGACATAAGAAAAATTTTGTCTCTGTGCACTTGTGTATAAAATAGATAACCAACAAAGAGACCTATTATATAGCAGAGGGAACTGTATTCAATATTTTATAATAAAAAAGAATCTGGAAAATATATATATATACATACATATATAGCAGAATCACTTTGTTATACACCTGTAACTTTGTAAATCAACTATTTCAACTTGTCTTAACAATACTGATTTTCCTTACCCCTCTTTTCTCCCCAACAAATCTAATCAGAAGTAAGAGATATTATTCACAATGTATTTTGGCATTTCATGATGTAAAATGTTGCCATGCCTAATAAACTTGGAAAGTATTTTATACTGTATTCGCCTCTTAGAAATTTAAAACTTATGTTAGCCTTTTAAAGTCACGGAGAAGCCTTGCAACATTTCTTATAATTTCTTATCTTTGTAGACTGCTGATAATTCCCATACAAGATATTGAGATGGCTGCTTTGACCTCATTTCGTTTTTCAAGGTCATTTAAGGGTTGAGATCATTTAGTAATTATAGTTCATGGAAGACTTTGGGCTTGTATCGGATACCTTTTTTCTCTGAAGTTATTTTGAAACCCATAATTTTTGAAATCTGTTCTAAGTGTGTGTCTACACTTCTGGTTTTACTTTTAGGTGTACAAGATCCCCAGCATGAGAGAATTATTACTGTGTCTACTAATGGAAGTATTCACAGCCCAAGGTTTCCTCACACTTATCCAAGAAATATGGACTTGGTATGGAGATTAGTAGCAGTAGAAGAAAATGTGTGGATACAGCTCACATTTGATGAGAGATTTGGGCTTGAAGACCCAGAAGATGACATATGCAAGTAAGTTATCATACTTGAAATTCCAGCAAAGTAACAACTGTTAGTTTTTCAAGACGCTTCATTCTGAGGGTGTGATTTTTAAATGCCATCTTTTGTCCCCTTATATTTTTCTGATCATCCAAGAAACTTACATCTTTGTTTAAGCTATGTTTCCATCTACTTCTGAAAATAATTTGAGGTAATATATGGCACAAAAATACATATAAAGTAAAGCAATTTAAAATATAGAATAGAGTAAAACACCAAATAAAGGAATGTAAGTTGTGCCAGAGTGACCATTAGTGCCAAAAATTTTACATTTAAGCTTCCTCATAACCAAATCAATAAGATAAACACTAAGCTATTAAAAGAAAAAACAGTATCCATGGATATGTATTACCCATAGCATCCAGTACCTACAGGGAAACACATAAATACACACACACACAGACACACACATGGGACTCAGAAGTTTGAATATCATAGGAAAGAAATACAATTCTGAAAGCAGAATTAGAAATTTAGATTTGCATTATAGTTGACTAGGTAGACATTTATCATAATTCTCCTAGAAACTTTCATGAACTAAAGTCAGCTGGAGTATTTCACCCATGCAAAAGACCACCTACCGTATGTCATACAAATATTACTCTTTAAATCCTATGTGAATACACTTGTCAAGGTTGGGTGGTCTTATGGAAGATTTTTCACTTCATTGGCATTTGTATATCATGAAAATATTTTACTTGAGCTTCTTCGTGAGGGTCTTTATTTTCCCTTTGATATACAAGTTAAAAGAGAATTTTCGCTTTATGGTATATTACAGATAAATATTTCAATACAGATAAAATAAACTTTATACTTTACTGTCATCACAATTTGTATCTTTAACCTTTATATATGTAGTTACTTTTTTTCAATTTCTTCTTTCTGTGGATAGCCGCATTTCAGGTTATTTTTTCCTCTTATGTCTCTAAACTTAAGCCTGGAAAACAAGAAGTTATTCTAGCTATTTTTGGAGATGGTGCTATTCAACCCTTCATTTTATAGATAAGCAAATGGGTTAGAGAATTAAAATAGCGACCCTGCATCTTATTCATAGTTTATAACTCAACACATGCTAAAATCCATTTTCCTAACAATCACAGAGGTGGTTTCCACCATTCTCTTCTGCACCTCTTGCCTTCTTTTCATGTGGAGTATTACATAATGTTGTAGAAATTGCAGAGTGTAAGATCTGGCCCTCTTTGCAAACTAGCAAGTTAACCTACAGCAGTCTCATGGACTCTGTCCACAGATAGCAGGCTCGAGGTTCTCAGACCAAGGGTGGGTGACGGTAGGGGCAGGAGTTCCATTCCCTCAGGTCAGTGCCAGGAGGGCCATGTTATACCTGGATGCCTGGCAGAGTGTGTGACCGGAGAGGTGACGTTGTGTATGTGTGTGTGTATGATGCACGTTAGTAGTTAGATCATAAAAATACACTTGTCCAGAATGCCCTTATAGCCTGTGACTCAATTTCACTCAGTATGAGACTTAAGAAAAGTTAAGAAAGCTGAGCACAGAAGAATTGATGCTTTTGAACTGTGGTGTTGGATAAGGCTCTTGAGAGTCCCTTGGACTGCAAGAAGATCCAACCAGTCCATCCTAAAGGAGGTCAGTCCTGGGTGTTCATTGGAAGGATTGATGTTGAAGCTGAAACTCCAATACTTTGGCCACCTTATGCGAAGAGCTGACTCATTTGAAAAGACCCTGATGCTGGGAAAGATTGAGGGCAGAAGGAGAAGGGGACAACAGAGGATGAGATGGTTGGATGGCATCCTCAACTCGATGGACGTGAGTTTGAGTAAACTTCGGGAGTTGGTGATGGACAGGGAAGCCTGGCATGCTGCAGTTAATGGGGGGTCGCAAAGAGTCAGACACGACTGAGCGACTGAACTGAACTGAACTCTTCCAATAGTTCTGAAATCCTTTCCCTTTGTACCTCCTTGATGTACCTTTTATTATTCCGGCAAACATAAATCATTTTCCTAATTTTGTAAGCCTGATTTCTCAATTTTTAAAATAATTTTATCATGTGTATCTCCCTATATATTATCCTATAAATTTAAATTTATTTTTATCTGTTTTGAAGTATCTATCAATGTGATTATACTATGTGTTTACTTTTATGACGATGTGCCTGTGAAAACAGCAGAACTCAGCAATATAAGGTTTTTCAAGTTCATGTGGACTCAGAGAGATTGTATCATTTGCCTTCCATGATGTACAGTATCCATTATATAATTAGGCAGCCTTTCTTTTCTCTTCTGCTTTGATGAATGCTTGGCTTACTTCCAGCTTTTCTTGTCCAAAACTGCAAGAAATCTTTCTTGGCATTTATAGCTAACAGTGGTATTATGTTCTTAAGACATTAATATTTTTAGCTTTATGAGGTAGAGTTAAATTATTTCTAAAAGTGACCAGTTTACAGTTCTACCAACAATATGTGAAATTTATTTTTCTGCATTCTCTCCAACCTTTTGAACTGGTACTCATTTAATTCTTGGTAGAAGGATACGTATAAAATTGTACCTTAATGTAAAATTTTGTTTCTCCTTCCTGCCAATGAGGTTGAAAATGTTTGTATTGTTACTGGCTGCTCAGAAATCCTTTACTGTGAAATGCCTGCTCATGACTTTTGCCCAGATTTTACTGAACTCTTTGGTTATTTAAATTTTGGTTTTCATATTTAAGTTCTTAATCCATCTGTAATTTATTTTGTCTATGCGAGGTTTTACGCTAGGGCATCTGATAGTGTCCTGACACTGTATATTTAGCAGTCACACTTTCCTCCGATGATGTGCAAAGCCAGCTAACTTGCAGGTCAGATTTTGTATCTGATGTGGTCTGTTTCTGGGTTCTCTATTCTGTTCTCTGGCTTTATTGTGTCCATCTGTGTACCAAATCGATACTCCCTTAATTACAGTAGCATTATAGAAGCCAGGTGATAGGGAACTCACTTTGTTTTCCTTCTTTTGGAGCATCCTCAGTATTTTACTTTTCACTATTTTTTTTACAAACAAGTTCCTTGAAACCTCCTGTTGCAATTTCATTGAAATTGTGTTGCATCTATAGATCATTCTGCAAAGAATTGACATACTTATAGAAAAGAATCTTTCTGTCGTTGAGAATTTTATGCATCTGCAGCTATCTAGGTATTGTTTTTGTCTGTACAGTTTTAAACTATTATTTATAGAAATGTGATGCACCATTATTTAGATTTATTTCTGTGATCTCTATGTGGTTGTTCATTTGCTAAGTCATGTCCAACTCTTTGTGACCCCATGCACTGTAGCATGCCAGCCTCCTTTGTCCTCCACTATCTCCCAGAGTTTGCTGAAATTCATGTCCATTGAGTTGGTGGTGCTATCTAACCATCTCATCCTCTGCTGCCCCCTTCTCCTTTTTCCTTCAATAAGGCACTTTTCTAATGAGTCATATCTTTGTATCAGGTAGCCAAAATATTAGAGCTTCAGCTTCAGCAGCAGTCCTTCCAAAGAATATTCAGGATTGATTTCCTTTAGGATTGACTGGTTTGATCTCCTTGCAGTCCAAGGGACACTCGAGAGTCTTCTCCAGCGACACAATTCAGAAGCATCAATTCATTGGCACTCAGCCTTCTGTATGGTCCAGCTCTTACATCCGTACATGACTACTGGAAAGCCGTCGATTTGACTAGATAGACCTTTGTTGGAAACGTGATGTCTCTGATTTTTAATACACTGTCTAGGTTTGTCATAGCTTTCCTTCCAAAGAGCAAGCATCTTTTAATTTCATGGCTGTAGTCATTGTTCCCAGTGATTTTGGAGCTGAAAAATATAAAACCTGTCACTGCTTCCACTTTTTCCCCTTCTATTTGCCATGAAGTGATGGGACAGGATGCCACAATCTTCATTTTTTGAATGTTGAGTTTTAAGCCAGATTTTTCACTCTTCTCTTCCATCCTCATCAAGAGGCCCTTTATTCCTCTTGACTTTCTACCTACCATTAGAGTGATATCATCTGCATATCTGAGGTTGCTGATATTTCTTCCAGCAATCTTGATTGCGGCTATGCTTCATCCAGCCTGACATTTAGCATAGTATACCCTGCATAGAAGTTAAATAAACAGGGTAACAATATACAGCCTTGTCATACTCTTTCCAAATTTAGAACCAGTCAGTTGTTTCATGTCCAGTTCTAACTGTTGCTTCCTGCATACAGATTTCTCAGAAGACAAGTAACGTGGTCTGGTATTCCCATCTCATTAAGAATTTCCACAGTGTGTTGTGATCCAGACAGTCAAAGGCTTCAGAATAGTTAATGAAGCAGAAGTAGATGTTTTTCTGGAATTCTCTTGTTTTTTCCATGATCCAACTGAATATTGGCAATTTGATCTCTGGTTCCTCTGCCTTTTCTAAATCTAGCTTGTATGTCTAGAAGAACTTGGTTCACATACTGCTGAAGCCTAGCTTGAATGACTTTGAGCATAACTTTGCTGGCATATGAAATGAGGACAATTGTACCATAGTTTGAACATTATTTGGCATTGCCCTTCTTTGGGATTGGAATGAAAACTGACCTTTTCCAGTCCTGTGGCCACTGCTAAGTTTTCCAAATTTGCTGATATACTGAATGCAGCACTTGCACAACATCATCTTACAAGATTTGAAACAGCTCAGCTGGAATTTCATCACCTCCAGTAGTTCTGTTCATAGTAATGCTACCTAAGGCCCACTTGATTTCACACTCCAGGATATCTGGCTCCAGGTGTGTGACCCCACCATTGCAATTATCAGGGTCATAAAGACATTTTTTTGTGTAGTTCTTCTGTGTATTCTTGCCACCTCTTCTTAATCTCTTCTGCTTCTTTTAGGTCCTTCCTGTTTCTGTCCTTTATTTTGCCCATCCTTCCATGAAGTATTCCCTTGATATCACCAATTTTCTTGAAGAAATCTCCAGTCTTTCCCATTCTATTGTTTTCCTAGATTTCTTTGCACTGT